GAGGATTGCAAAACCCCCTTGGCCCTGGGCACCATGTTTCAAAGAGTTCCACAGGGGTGCAGAAAATTCAAAAACATGTCCCCGGGGACTGTATAGTGTATAAAAAAAAATAGAAAAATTTGTAATAAAAAACATTTCATATTGGTTTTTTTGTGTTTAAAAATTTTCGTAAAAAAAAATAATGACAACAGGTTTTCCCCTTATTGGGGTAGTTTTGAAAAAAAAAATAACTTACAAAATACTGATTTATGTTGGGCCCCCCAAGGCCATAAAAATTACTAGAAAAAGAAAAATTTAAAAAAAATTGGGAAAAAAGTACAAAAAAAATAAATAGAAAAAATTTTCCGGGGGACGGAGTCGGCGATGTTACCATTGTTTTTTCAATTTTTGGGGAAATTTCAACCTCCATATCTCGGTAAGTAATTTACGTTAAAATTTTTTTTTTACCTATTAATTTTAGAAAAAAAACTTTTAAAATTTTTTTAAAAAAAAATTTTTTTTTTTTTTTGAAAAATTTTGGGGGACCCGAGAACGAGTTTTGGGTAGGGCCTGTCGAACCCCCAAAAAGGGTTTTAAAAGGGGAGTTAGAGGTAAATTGGGGAAAAAGGGGGGGAATATTTTGAGGAATTGTTTTAAAAGTTGATGAAGATGGGGGAAACTGTGTTTCATGTATAGGGCAAAGGGGGAATAACATCTTGTAGGGGAAAGAGGATGAGCCATTGTTTGTGTGGGAGAAAATTATGAGGGAGTGGGAGAATGAAAAGGGGGTTTTGGAGTTTGGGATTTAAATTTTTAAAGATGGGAAAGGGTTTTAAAACCAGGGTTTGGGGGAAAGTTTGGATGGTTTTTTTGGGAAAATTTAAAATAAAAAATTTTGGGAAAGGTTTTGGGGAAAATTTCCTGGGTTGGAGGAGAGTTATTTTTGGAAAAAAGGAAAAGGGGATAAAAAGAAGGGGGTTTTTCAAAAAATTTTTGGGGGGGTTAAAGGTGTTTAAATAAACCTTGGTAAAATTTTTGGTAAAAGGTTTTTTTGAAAAGGGTTTAAAGGATAAGAATGGAAGGGGGAAAGGGAATTTTTAGGTGAGAAGGAGGGTTTAAAAGGGAAAGGTTTTTGGGGTGGGAAGTTTTACCCGGTTTAAAAAAAAAGGTTGGAAAAATTTTTTTAGAAATAAAGGCCCAAAGGTTTTTGTCCCCCTTTGGTTTAAAAATAAAGGGGGGAAAAGGGTGAAAAGGGGGGCTTGGCAGAGGGTTTTGGGGGAAGGTTTAAAAGGGGGGGGAAAACTTTAAATGGGGGGTTTTAAAGTTTTTCGAGGATGTGGGGTCAGGTTAAAAAGAAGTTGGAAAAAGGGGGAAAAAATTTTGGTAGGTTGAAAAGGAAAAAAAGTGTTGGAAAAAAATAAGGTTTTAATAAAAAGATGGGGTGAAAGTTGGAAAACAGGTTGGAAGAGGTTGAGGGGGTTAAAAAGGAAAAAAATTTAAAGTGGGGGTTTTCAAAATTTTTTCTATGAAAGTGGGGGAATATTAAAGGGGAAAGGGAAAAGGGGTTTGGGGTGAATTTGGAGTAGTGGAGAAAAGAAGGGGAAAAAAAAGGGGGGAAAGAATTAAGGGTATAAAATTTTAAAAAAAATGGGTGTGAAAACTTTGGGGGGTTAATTTTAGGGAGGAGAATGGAGGAGGGAATGTATTCCAGTATTTGGGTGGAAAATGCAGAGAAAAATTTTATATTTTAAAGAAGGGGGGGTTTGGGGTTCCCAAAATTTTTAAGGGGGGGAAAAGGGGTTTAAAAGGGGGACAAAGGGGGAATTTGGGGAAAAAAAGAATTTTTCCCTTGGAAGGAAAATTTTGGGGAGGGAAGGGGAAATTTTTAAAAATCTTTAATTTGGGGGAAGGGAAGGGGGAGGGTTCGGCCAGGAAAGGTTTGGGGGGAGGGGGAAAAAGGGTTTTTTTGGGGGGGCAGGGTTGGTGTGAATTTTAAAGGAGGGGGAATAAAAAAATGGTTTTAAAAGGTTTAGGGAGAAAGGTTTTGGGGATTGGAAAAAAGTTTGGCCGGGGAGGCCCGGGGGGGAAGGGTTGTTTAAAGGGGGGGGTTTGGCATTTTTTAAAGAGTGGAAACAAAACAGAAAGGGGTTGAATGTATAAAATTTTTTTTGGGTTTTGGGGGAAAGGCCGGGGTGTTTTTAAACTGGAGGGGGAAGGGGGCGGTTTGGGTTGGCCCAGGGAAAAGGTGGAGGGAGGGGGTAAAGGAGGTTTTGTGTGCGAGGGGCTTGGAGTTCCAGCAAGCATGCATGAGCATATTTGGTAGGAGTGAATAGAGACAAATGGTTTTTAATACTTGATGTGCTTCTGGAGTGTGAGCAAAGTAACATCTATGAAGAGATTCAGAGAAACCGGCAGGCCGGACTTGAGTCCTGGAGATGGGAAGTACAGTGTCTGTACTCTAAAGGAGGGGTGTTAATGTTGCAGTTTTATAACTGTAGTGTAAAGCACCCTTCTGGCAAGACATTGATGGAGTGAATGATCATGAAAGCTTTTCTTCTTTGGGCCACCCTGCCTTGGTGGGAATCGGCCGATGTGTTTACCTGGAGACCTGGAGAGGGTTTTGGGGGTCAGTGCTTCTGCGGCTTGGTCTGAGACCAGGCCTCACAGTGGATCAGGGTCTGATCAACCAGGCTGTTACTACTGGCCATACACAAGCTGATGTATGAACCACAGCCCGGTTGGTCAGATTCTGACTTTAGGTGCCTGTCCAGTGCCTTCTTAAAGACAGCCAGGTAATCCCCCTTATGTAGGCTGGGAGGCAGTTGAACAGTCGTGGACTGTTATAATAATAATATTGTAATAATAATGTACTATATTATAATAGACAGCTTCAAAAGGCTGTCACTAGATGGTAGTGTTTACCACAACAATGCTGGAGCGGTTATGGCCGCCTCCACTCGTCACATAATGACATATTTTATTCATTCTAGAGTATATATCAGGTTTCTATGTTATTTATATTGTTTATTATGTCATATTAGATGAACTGTGATAGATAAATAAGCCATAGAGTTGATGATAGTGAAATATTCAAGGAGTATTTTGTCCTGTCTCCAGACAAACTGTTGTCGGCCGCTGACGCCGCCACATATATAATGACATTTTATTCATTCCAGAGTATATATCAGGTTTTTATGTTATTTATATTGTTTATTATGTCATATTAGATGAATTGTGATAGATAAATAAGTCATAGAGTTGATATTATTGAAATATTGAAAGTTGATATTATTGATATTATTGAAGTATTTTATGGTGCCTGGAATTCCACTGGAACAATTTAATTCCATTTGAGTCACTTAAAATGAGGAAAATTGACTCTGCAAATGAGCAAATCCAGATTCGAGCAAGGTCACGGAACGGATTAAACTTGTTAGTGGAGGTTCCACTGTATATATTATTTGGGACATTGATGAAATAAGACATTTATTTGGAAAATTAATGTTTATTTGAAAAGTGCACGGCAATGATATGACAGATAAATGATTTAGTAAGAGATATGACTACCCTATGCTTTTATAAGCATTGCTACATGCTTAGGCATAGAACCAATCAATATTCAACACATTTGGCATGTGCAAGAATGGTATATAATACCGACAAGATGAAATTAAGACACACGTGCAACATCTGGGTATCTTTATTGTAGACGTTTCGCCATCCAGTGGCTTTATCAATACAAATTCTAGGACATAACTTGAAGACAGTAGGACTATATACAGAAGATGAGGTAATCAGTCCCTCAGCCTAGGAGTAGGTGCGAAGAGCACTGTAGTCTTGGAGATTCTGAAGCAGAAGAAAGGAGCCTGGCGCTTATATAGTAACGTCAGGTGTAGCAGACGAGGGCATAGTCACTGGTAGGCGGGATTCCCCAGTGGAAGTAGGTCCTTCACAAAGAGATGGGTTAGTTGTAGTAGTAGTTGTTGTAGCCGTGAAGGTTATGTACATGTCCTTAGAATCAAGATTCCATGATGTTGCAGTGTCTGACAAGTTGTGCAAGAATGGTATATAAGCGCCAGGCTCCTTTCTTCTGCTTCAGAATCTCCAAGACTACGGTGCTCTTCGCACCTACTCCTAGGTTGAGCGACTGATTACCTCATCTTCTGTATATAGTCCTACTGTCTTCAAGTTATGTCCTAGAATTTGTATTGATAAAGCCAATGGATGGCGAAACGTCTACAATAAAGATACCCAGATGTTGCACATGTGTCTTAATTACATTTGGCATGTTCTTTGTCATGGTACCAGATCCTAATAGCTGCAATTAGCTTCTCCACAGTTGAACAGTCTTGTTCTGCAATTCTCTTTTGGTTATTGCCATAGATTCTCAGTTAGGTTGAGGTCAGGAGAGTTTTCATGCAAATTTAAAATGCTTAGACCACTCTCTTCAGAGAATGTCAACACATTTCTGGAAGTGTGGCATGGAGCAAGATCCCACTGAAAAATGCCTTCTCCATCAGAAAAGCCTCTATTCCCACTGGGAAGCAAATGAGTTGTCAAGATTGTCATGTACATGTATTTGTAACTATTCATAATTCCCTCAACAATAACAAGCTGTCCAGGGCCTTTAGCAGTAAAACTACTCAGAACATCATCTTAGGTGAGTGTTTTGGCCAAGACCAGGTAGTATGGTCAGTGACCAAGACCAGGCAGCATGGTCTGAGGCCAAGACCAGGCAGCATGGTCTGAGGCCAAGACCAGGCAGCATGGTCTGAGACCAAGACCAGGCAGCACGGTCTGAGACCAAGACCAGACAGCATGGTCTGTGGCCAGGACCAGGCAGTATGGTCTGTGACCAAGACCATGCAGCATGGTCTGTGACCAAGACCATGCAGCATGGTCTGTGACCAAGACCATGCAGCAGGGGCAATAATTCACAGCTCCAGCATTAGGTAGTCAGTACAGTCTTGCTGTGAAACATAAGATTTCTATTTTGTGCTTACTGATAATTTTATTTTCAGGTGGTGAGAAGGGTATAGCCTTACATGTTAAGAGAAATCGAAAAATGCTGGTGCGAGATAAATTAAAACTTCTTCTTGATGATGAGGATGACTTCCTGGAGCTGTCACTGCTTGCTGGTCTTAATATGGAGTATGGAGATATTCCTGCAGCAGGCCTTGTTAATGGTGTGTTGCTATGTCACAATAATAACCTGATAAATACATTTTATGAATATTTTCTGCATTAAGAAATAATATGGGATAGTGGAACAGAATTCTTCCTCCGTAAGCCATGCGTATTGTAAGAGGTAACTAAAATGCCCGAGCAAGGGGCTAGTAACCCTTTCTCCTGTATAAATTTATTAATTTAAAGAGAGAAACTTTTGTTTTTCTTTTTAGGTCACCCTGCTTCAGTGGGATATGGCCAGTTTGTTGAAAAAAAAAATGAAATAAGTTTTGATATGTTCAAATAAATAAATAAAAAATAAATAAATAAATAAATAAATGGTGTGTATTTTTCAGTTTTTAGAATTTTACTAACTTACTTCTGTTCCACTTCAGTAGTACAGTACATTATCTTATTAACTGAAAGCTGTCATATTTTAATATAAATTATGCAGTATTTCTCTCATGTGGTATGTCATGTGTGACCTGTACTACAGTGTATATACTTTACAGGCATTGGAAAAATCCAAGGGAGATACTGTACAGTAACATGCAATGATGGAACTGTCACAAGTGGGACTTTCTATCCTATCACCGTTACAAAAAGCCTTCGCTCACAAACAATTAGTGCTATGAATCGTCTTCCTTGTGTATACATTGTAGATTCTGCTGGTGGATTTCTACCTTTACAAGTAAGCTATTTAAAGAAAGTTCTTTAAGATATAGTTGAGTAAAAAAGTTTTGGTTCTTGTTACCATTCTTTCTGGAAGAAGTGAAATGGCAGGTTTAACTTTCACTAGAAATCATGACTATACAGTGGTCCCTCGCTTTTCGTAGTTCCCGGCAATCGTAAATTTCGCCAATCATAGGGGTATTTTCGTATAAACATGGACTCGCTTTTCATAAGTTGACTCGCGAGTCGTAATTCGTCCGGGACGCATACCCACGGTGTGAGCCGTGGCAGCAGCCAGTCTGGCATTGTTTACCAGTGAGCGAAGGTCCCCTCACGTGCTCCAGCAAAATATGTCATAATATTCCATTTATTTTAGTGCTTGCAAGTACTAAATAAGCTACCATGGATCCAAAGAAAGCTCCTAGTGCCAAGCCTGTGGTAAAGAAGGTGAGAAATACAATTGAATTTAAGAAAACCATCGTTGAACAATATGAAAATGGTACAAGTGTGGCCGAACTGGCCAGGATGTATAAGAAACCCTACACAACCTTATGTTCCATAGTGGCCAAGAAAAAAGAAATCAAGGGTGCTGTTGTTGCAAAGGGGGTAACTATGCTGACAAAAATGAGATCACCAGTACTCAAAGAGGTTGAGAAGTTATTATTGGTGTGGATAAATGAGAAACAATTAGCAGGAGATACTCTTATGACTTCGATTATGTATTTGTGAAAAGGCTAGGCAGTTGCATGACGATTTGGTAAAGAAATTGCCTGCAATTAGTGGTGATGTGAGTGAATTTAAGGCCAGCAAAGGCTGGTTTGAGAGATTTAAGAACCGTACTGGTATACACAGTGTGGTAAGGCATGGTGAGGCTGCCAGTTCGGACCACAAGGCGGCTGAAAAATATGTGCATGAATTCAAGGAGTACATAGAGGCTGAAGGACTGAAACCTGAACAAGTGTTCAATTGTGATGAAACAGGCCTCTTTTGGAAGAAAATGCCAAAGAGGACCTTCATTACACAAGAGGAAAAGGCAATGCCAGGACACAAGCCTATGAAAGACAGGCTGACACTAATGTTCTGTGCTAATGCTAGTGGGGATTTCAAAGTGAAGCCATTACTAGTGTACCATTCTGAAAATCCCAGAGTGTTCAGGAAAAACATTGTTATGAAGAGTAAATTGTGTGCGTTTTGGAAATCTAATAGTAAGGCATGCGTCACGAGGGAAATTTTCGTCGAGTGGTTCAATGAAGTGTTTGGCCCTAGTGTGAAGGAGTATCTCCTGGAAAAGAAATTGGATCTCAAGTGCCTGCTAGTAATGGACAATGCACCTGCTCATCCTCCAAACTTGGATGACCTAATTTTCGAGGAGTTTGGGTTCATCACAGTAAAGTTCTTGCCCCCGAATACCACTCCTCTCCTCCAGCCCATTGACCAGCAGGTCATTGTAAACTTTAAAAAACTCTACACAAAAGCAATGTTTCACAGGTGCTTGACTGTGACCACAGACACTCACTTGACCCTAAGGGAATTTTGGAGAGAACACTTCAGCATCCTCCATTGAATAACCCTTATAGGTATGGCTTGGGAGGGAGTGACTACCAGGACTTTGAACTCTGCCTGGAGAAAATTGTGGCCAGATTGTGTCGACAAGAGGGTTTTAAAGGGGTTTGGGACTGACCCTGATGAGCCTATGTCTGTTGTAAAATCAATTGTGGCACTGGGGAGTTCCATGGGGTTGGATGTGAGTTTGGAGGATGTGGAAGAATTGGTGGAAGACCACTACGAAGAGCTCACCACTGAGGAGCTGCAAGAGCTTCAGCAGGAAGAGCAACACATCGCAGCTCAGAATCTTGCTGCAGAGGAGAGGAAGAGAGATGGGAAAAAGGTGCCTTCTTCAGAAATTAAAGAGATTTTTACTATGTGGGGTAAGATGGAAAGCTTTATTGAGAAACTATCACCCTAACAAGGTTGTTGCAAGCCATGTTGGCAACATGTACAGTGACAAAGTCTTGGGCCATTTTAGGGAAGTGTTAAGAGACACCAGAAACAGAGCTCTCTCCACAGTTATTTTGCGAGACAGGACTCCAGTGACTCTCAAGGTGGTCCTAGTGGCATTAAGAAACAGAGAAGACAAGCAACCCCAGAAAAACAATTGGTACCTGAGGTGTTGCTGGAAGGGGATTCCCCTTCCAAACTATAAACAATCCACTCTCTCTCCTCCTCCAGTCTCCCATTCACTAAGAAGTATCTCCAATAAAGGTAAGTGTTATGCTGTTAATGTTTCATTCGTCATTTTCCATTGTATTGTTTATGTACTACATGTATATTTCATGTAAAAATTTTTTTGTTTTAATACTTCTGGGTGTCAGGAACGGATTAATTGTATTTACATTATTTATGGGGAAAATTGATTCGCAAATCGTAAATTTCATTTATAGTAGCTCCTACAGGAATGGATTAATTACGAAAAACGAGGGACCACTGTATATAGCAAATCAAAACATTTGGAACCACTGTTGATGTAGCCTAGGCTAGGCTCTGTTATGTATGAGTATATTGATCTTTAACCCTTTGACTGTTTTAGTTGCATATATACATCTTACGAGCCAGTGTTTTGGACGTATTAACCCTTTCAGGGTCCGTCCCATAGATCTACGGCTTTACGTTTAGGGCCCAAACCGTAGATCTATGCCATGAGCTCATCTCACTCTGATAAACTCTGAGTGGTAAATTTGGGCCTAGATATGAGAGAATACATCTATGTGGTATGTGTGCACCACATAAAACAAATCCTGCAGCACACTGTGTATAATGAGAGAAAAAAACAGACAGTGATTTTCAATTAAAACAGCGAATTTGCAGTGTTTTTTGTATGTTTTTTATAGTTGTATTTGCGATTTCTTGGTCTCATTTGATAGAATGGAAGACATATTACACAAATAGAGATGATTTTGATTGGTTTTAGGACTGGAAATGGCTTGAAACTGAGCTCAAAGTAGCAGAAATGTTAAATTTTTGCCATTGTTCAAGAGTAAACAACCTCACAGATCTAATACATGCCAGCTGGTGGATCTAATATACATTCACAAATGTGGTGATGATATTTATACAATTATAACAATATTGCATGACAGTAAATCTTCTATTTTTTGGTGTGAATAAAAATTCATTATGTGAATAAAAAATCAAAATGGAATTTATTTGTAAAGCCTCAGAACGTAACTAATAAACAGAGGAAATGTTAGTTTAGTGCCAGGAATACCTACATTATTTATGCTGGACCGTATTTTGAAATTGGAATATTTTGAACTTTGTTTTAAATTGGCCAAATTACCAATTTCCAATCACTTTATTTTGTAGTTGAAACAGTTGACTTGGCGATTTCTTGTGCTCAATCAATAGAATAGAAGTAATACTAGTGAAATAGCTAAGAATTTGGTCGACTGGAATAATGTAATTGGCCTAAAATGGGAGTCAAAGTCGGCAAAATTGCCGATTTGTAAATATCGCTGACACGTCAAAATTCGCGAGAGCATAATTACGTCAATTTTCCATCAAATTTCGTACTTTTTCTTTTATTACCTTCACAAAAAAATTCTCTACCATTTCATAAGAAAAAATAACACATTTTTTTTTTTTTTAAATTCTTGAACACTGGGGCACCACTTAAGATTTTGGCCTTGGGCCCTGAAAGAATTAATACGCATAAATTCTAGCAGTTTCAAATTAAGCACGAGAAAGCTGGCAGGCCCACATGTGAGAGAATGGGTCTGTGTGGTCAGTGTGCACCACATAAAAAAAAATCCTGCAGCACACAGTGCATAATGAAAAAAAAAAAACTGATGTTTTTTTTGGATTAAAACGCCGACTTTGAGGTGTATTTTTGTATAGCATTTATCGTTGCATTCTCGTTTTCATGGTCTCACGTGATAAAATGGAAAACATTTTACAGAAACGGAGATGATTTTGATTAGTTTCACGATGAAAATGACCTGGAAATTGAGCTCAAAGTAGCGGAATTGTTCGATTTTTACCACTGTTCAGGAGTAAGCAAAGCACGCCACACGTCCAATACACGTCAACTGGGGAGTCTAATGTTCTTTCACTAGTGCACTGATATTATTTATACCATTTTTACAATAATGCAGTAGTCTGCATAACAGTAAATTTTGTATTTTTTGTATGAATAAAAGTCAAAATAGAAAGCAATAGTAATATAAGAGGGGCCTAGAGACGTGACTAATGAACAGAGGATATGTTATTTTAGTGCGAAGAATGTCTACATTGTTTATTCTGGGCCCTATTTTGAAATTGGCATTTTTTTTTAATTTGTGTGAAATTGGCCAAATTGCCAATTTCTGACCACCTTAATGGGTAGTTCAAATCGGTAAATAGGCGGTTTCTTGTACTCAACTGATAAAGAAAATGGAGTTCTAAAGAAATAGCTGAGTTTGGTCAACTGGAACAAAGGAATTGGCCGAAAACAGGACTCAAAGTCGGCGAAATTGTCGATGCGTGTATGTCACCAAGACCGCTAACTTCACGGGAGCGTAATTCCACGAGTTTTCTACCACATTTCGTACTTTTGGTGTCATTACCATCGGGAAAAGATTCTCTGTGATTTGATAAGAAAAAATTAATTTTTTTTTTCCAAAAATTTTGCGACATAGAATGAGTTTCAGAAAGAGGCTTGTGACAGTCAAAGCATTAAGGAAGTTGAACAAATTATAGGTGGGCTCCACTTATACAGCAGGTTAGGTTCTGGGTTACTGCTGTAAAGTGAAAATTGCTGTAAATTGAAACATATAACAACCTGATAACATGTTTATACAGTCAGATATTAACCCTTTCAGGGTCCAAGGCCTAAATCGGAAGGGGTGCCCCAGTGTCCAAGAAATTTTGAAAAAAAAAAAAAAAAATTCTTACAGAATTAAAGAGTATATTTTTGTGAAGGTAATAAAAAAAAATTTTTGATCAGTACTTACCGAGATACAGTGCCGAGAAGTTGACCCAAAA